CCCCCCTCATATCCAACCCATATCTAGGGAGGATATGAGGGCTCACGGACATGCCTAGTCAGCCTACCCTGTAGGACGCTGCCCACCTCGGACCATTTTTCTCTTTCTTCATTCTTTCTTTTTTCTCTCTATTCATTCCGACCAATCGTAAGCATGTGACTGGACAATCTCACGGTGTGAAATGGGGGACATGGTTGCATGCATATACATAAATAGTGCATGGGAGGCGGTGAACAAGCAACGGACTCCGACGAGGAGTAGTGCGTGGGAGGCGGTGGGGCCCCGAGTCCCAAGTGGGCCGATCTGTGCCCTATTCTTCCTCGCTAGCGATCGGACCTTCACTTCGTGGGTCTCATCTGCACCGGACATGGGCACGGCCAACACTGGATGGTAACAAGGACTTGGAAGACGGCCGATGTCATAGATTTAGAGTAGACTTAGGTTCGATCGCTTTTTCAATGAAATATGTCGAAAATGTAAATTGAATGTGCTTCAGTTTAGATGAAAATCATCCAGCTTGCATGTAATCTCTTGCGATTTGTTAAAATCCGATTTGATATGTATGTAGGCATGGTTAGATGGCGTGCTATCGCATCATTGTCCGGAAACTGACCCCCATAGGTTCGCGGACGGATACGGTGTTCGATTTGAGGGTCAGCGGTGGAGTTGTGATATACTTGTTAGGTTGATCTCTCTCCCGTTCGAACCCAACGGGTCGAACGGGCCCCTGACTCGCGCCTTGATCAGGGGCGCCCAACCAAACCATGGTTGATGGGCCCCTGTGACCCGCGCTATATAAACAGAGGTGGGTTCCGAGGCATGTTTCACGAGGTCAATCGTTGCCACAACCCCCACCGACACACCCTACCGATCTAGGGTTAGCGCGGTGCTCACGAGAAGCACACCACCGCCGCCATCTCGCTGCCATCACAGCCGCCACAACATCATCATGGCTGCTGGTTCAAGCTCGCAAGGGAAGGCAGAAGGTAGGTTACCGGATT